TAAGGAAGTGAAATAATCACAGCCTCTGCTCTCCTTATTTGCACAACTTTACAAGCTGCCTGATCATAATGTTCAAAGTCTGCACTGATTGGTCAAAAGAGAGATATTTGAGTCAAGAGGCGTTGCTATCCCTGTCATGTACTCACAGCTTCATTGGAGAGCGGCATGCCCTGAGCTGTGATTGGCTGCATTACCTACAGGGAAAAAATCTGCAAATAAGAAACCGGGCTTTCTGCTTCTTCCACTGTTGCTATGTTGTAGTTGCTAAGAGCATTGAGTGAGGATGAATTGTGGATTCTGTGCATTTCCACCATTTATATTTTGTGTGAGGGAAAAAAAACACCCCTCAATACATCACAGTTTTAAAATGCTAAATAAAAAATTACCGCTTGATTGTCAGAATTCTCAACCAGTATAACACAGGAATGTACAATCCCCAATAAAGATCTTTAGATATTTTTTTTAGAAATGACATTTTTTTTTTTTTTTTTAATGAAATATCAGTGTGTTTCCTTTGTTTGGGAACCAGTGTTCAGGTTCTTTTAAGTTGATGTTGAGTGTGTATATTTAAAAATAATCAAACCTCATGGAACTATTTCACACAAAAGCAATCATTGCATCCTTTAAGAACAAGAATATCATATTATGTGTGATTATTCTGTAGGAATCACACTTGTGGAAGAAAGTATGATCAACAAGGGTTTGTAAACTTCATGTAAAAAAAAAAGTTGAAAACATCCCTTCAATTTGTGCTCCCCTGACCAGCTTTTTCCCTGTCCACTCCTACAGTCATATTGGCAGCATCTTCAGTGTGGCATGAATATCTGTAGTTAAATGTCATGTTTACATATTTAAAAGTAATCCCGCCTGATGGCTTAATGCCATGAGTAGGTTGAGGGACCCACTGTCCGCTTTAGTCCCTAATCCCCTCAGATTAAATCATACGATCTGTATCACTCTTGGCTTGATGGGTCCAGATTAAACAAATAGAATTTTGAAGAAATGCCAAACATGGTCCTGTAAAAATGCTGCACTCCATGTACAGCCTCCTAATTTGGAACGGTTAAGCTATTTAATCTAAAGTAGGAATAAAATATGTTGTAACCAATGAGGGAACTAAATATTGTTTATTTGTGTCTGCTCCAAGGTTTACAGGGGTCAAAGAATTTGGAAACTGACACTAACCCTGGTTCATAGATTACTTCTGCAGCTCAGTTCTTGTTTTACAGCTTGATTGACTGCCCTGTATAAATATGCTCTTCTCATGAAATGTAGATGGTAAGGTTAGAAGGATTGTTACTGGAAATCAAGTCACTTACTCTCTCCAGGTTCCTTAGACTTTCTTCCACTGGTGTTTTTCTTCAGCATGTTCCTGCCTGTGGTGAATAAGTTTGTTAACTCATCCAGAGGGCTTGTTGGTGTCCGTGAACGTCCCGTTGACACGTTCTGCATAGAGCCATGAAGTCGTCCTACGCTGTCTTGAGGGGGTGAGCCTTTGCCGTGAGGGGTGGCAGAGGCGCTACGTGGCAACCCCCCGGGAAATGGCATCGGAGTATCAAATGGAGGCGTACGCATGAGGCTAAGAGGGGTAAGACAGCGGCCCATACTGACGGGCGATGGGCAAGCAGAGTGACTGCGCTGATAGGAGGACGATGACGAGGATTTATAGAGAGTACAAGGTAATGGAGGTGCAGAGGAGCGACCAGAGACTGTAAGTGTTGGAGTGGCTGTGAGCTCCCTACGGACATGAGCGGAAGAGGGTGGCTCAGAAGAGGATGTTGGAGATTTGCTGTAAGACTGGTTCTCCAGCATGGGCAGTTTGGAAACATCTAAAGGGGTGAGGGGGGACTCATCAGAGTTGGGGGAACACTGGGCTGGTGCTGGTGGGAACACCAACAGTGGAGGCCGGTGAGTGAGTAAATTGGGAAAAGGTGCAGGGATATCACAGAGGGGAATGTTTCGAGGCGTGGAGCAGCGACTCAGAGGCTCAGGGTCATATGGTGCTGGGGTTGGGCACGCTGAACGACATCCCACAGGGTCAGTGCGGTACTCCATATCATCTAAAGCAGGATACTTCATCTCCTCGTAAACAGACTCTCCTGGCTCCTCATCCTCACTCTTCAAGGGTTCTCTCATTCCAACATCAATCCCGCCCATTTCAATGTAGACTGGTTCGTCTTCGCAGTCGTCTGTGGGGCTTTCATCGCTCTGCGGAGGCGATGGGTTGCGTTCACTTGGGGATGTAGTGTGGTGGAGCGGTTTGGACGGACAGATTCCACTGCCTCCGTGGCTCTTAATGTAGGATTCATCGAAGGAAACACTCAGTTGTGTGTTGGGGTTCCTCTTGGGTTTGGGTGGTGGTACTCTTCTGCAGTCATCACTACAGCCCTGAGCTCCTAGAAATTTTAAAAAGCAAACTAGATTTAATAAATAAACATTGACAACCACTATCTACACTGCATTATATAGTTTTTTAATATCCAATATCAGTTTGACAAATCACTTTTTGTCAGTTGTCATTAATTCAATCAGCTGCTATCGTTAACATACTGCCTTTTCCACTGGCTGGGTCAGCTGTAGGTCAACATGTGGCTGAGAGCAATACCTTTCCTCAGATAATTAGGAATATATGAGGCATATGCATGTTTCTAGGTCACATGTATAGAAGAGAAGAAGTATGTGAGTAAAGTATCTGGGTCACACACTGTGGAGCTTCTTTTTGATAGTGGTGACGTAGCTTTGCAGTGTGGATGTCTTTAGATGTGGTGCAGTGAGGCTTTAGCACGCATCTGCTTTGATAGTACTATAGGGTGAGCAGTCCGAATGCCAATTTACTAATAGTAGCCGTTGCTCTTTGCCAGTGACCTGTTTGCAGTCAATTTCTAGGTCAGACGCAGGGATGATTTTTTTAGATGTTCCCCTATCTCTGATAGGCGCTGAGAGATGAGTGTATTTATGAACTGGACCGTGTCTGAAATTTCCAAACTGCAGATTTTACACCTTTAATAATTCAGATGCCAGATGGCCCAGACACACGCATATTTCCCGTAACTGTATGACTCACCACCATCGCTACAGTACATGCAGGCGAGTGCACAAGCTCGCTCTGGACATGCCTATAAATTCATGGAGAAAAATTAGGACGGATGTGTACACATTTTATGGAACGTGATCTGACAACCCTTGAAGCCCTTTTTTTTTCAGAAAATAAAGTCTAACTGAGTAGGTGTACCATCGTCCTTGTTTTCTGTCACATGCAAAGGTTTTAAATCTTAATTTGGGTGACAAAAGATCATACAGATTTTTATAGTTTACTGTCATTCAAGGCTGAATGCCAAAACGGAAAATGAAATGTGAGCATTTCATTTTGATCGGGTGTGAAATTTTACATGCAAAGCTCATGTTGATTTAAAATTAAGAAATGCATCTGTAATTGTTTGATTTTCCTCTTTTTTCACATTGCTGTTCACACAAAAATGGTCTTGACTAAAATGTGGTTTTATATGCGGAGTTTAGGAGTATTTTGATCACATATATTTGTAAGATCTTTGTCAGTTTACTTGTGTAACTTTGTGCATATAATAATCTGAACACAAGTGGTATACTTCCACTTCTATTCATCACTGCAAAATGCTTTAAGACATTAGGAGATTGTCTAGATGGATGCTGAGGTTTTGTGTAACCATGATGATGAATCCATCCCTTTAAACATCCCTCACTCCCTGTTTTTCTTTTCCCCTCACTCTTTTGCTTCCTCTTTTCCCCCTCCCCCTCCTGCCCGGATGTGTTTACCCGCAGCACCCTCCCCCTCCCTCTTCTCCTGGGGAAAACGAATCTAGGTCAATCTCGCCTCCTGAATGAATTCTACTCTGACAGGCTCCTCCCCTTTCTGCTAAAGCGCCAGCTACAGAGCACGCAACCCTCCCCTCGGCCAGGGACACCCCCACAATCTCTCTATGATTGGTGCTGAAACCTCAGACTTCAGCATTTCTGGAGCCTCATTGGCCCGAGTGGCTGGGTGATGTGGTGATTGGTTGGGCTGCAGGGGGTCTTGTTTCTGTGGGATGGTTGCCGTGGTGCCCAGGAAGATCTGCGTGCACACTGAGATCCCACCAATCTGAGACAGGCTGGGTGACTCCCTAAACATCACGTTAGCAACAAAGCATACAAACTGAATTGAATCTTTTCTTTTTTTACTGCTTCCACTGCATACGGCCAGAAAAGACAGTCTCACTGCTTCAAGCATCTGATTGGAAATATCAGATTGGAAGAGATATAACATTTTAAAACTTGTGTCAGTTTGATCAGGATTGTTTTCCAGCTCCATATATTTGCAAAATCTAGAACACAGTTAATTTAATCACATCTGTCAACATCTGGTTTTGTTGAGACAACTGAACATACACAAGATTTCCTATTTCTTACTTCACATGGTGTGACTTAACAGGAAATTATGCATTTTCTGCTGTTACTTAAAACTGGGAAGGGCAATTATTGAAATAGACAATGAAATAGCAGGTGCACAAGCAGCATGCATGGTTTGTAGACATCTTTTGTTCTAATTATAGAGGATAGTAATCACTAAAGAAAAACTTGTACGTTTCATTCAGACCTTTCTTTCTGCAAGTCTGTTGCACCCTGCTTCTCCAGAGTGTGCATTTGCATGTCCTTATTTGAATAGTTGTGTGCATGTGTGTTTAATTAAATATGAAGGGATAATGACCCATTATAAAATTGCCAAAACATGCCATGGATACAAAAAAATGTTGCTCCTATTGTACATTCACCTTTGGGTATTTAAAGAAATTTCTGAACGTGTTCATTGCCTCTGCAGTTGCCGGAATTGTTTTTCTTATTCTTTTTAAAAGCCATGGGAGTAAGTGTGAAGATTTTCGTGGATAGCTAGATGTCATGTCATTGTTGGAACAACAATGCTGAGGAGGTCAGTGCAGAGAGCAGCTAAATATAGCTGTAGCAGTTGGGTGTGAAGTGCCACTACCACTCACCATCACACTTCTCCCCACGGCAGGTGGACATGGGACTGTGGTCCACCGCCTCAGACGACATGCTTAGCTTGGTGGCGGGGTCTCTCCTCGGTTTAGGTGGAGGCTGCTTCCTGGAGGTTGGACTTCCCACTTCCTCCTCTCCTCCTCCCCCGCTGCTCCCACCGCCGACAGAGTGAAGGGACTGGGATCGTACAGAGAAGCCCTGTCCGCAGGCGATGGCATGCAGGTGGGGCATGGGCATGCGTTCCTGAGGATCTGGCATGGTTATCGAGCCCATGCGCAAATGCTTGCCTTCTGTGACTATGTCCTCACCTGCCCTGAAACAGGAAAAGAGGAGTAGAGTTGAAGTGGAGAAGAGAAGAAAATAAATATGCATGTAAATATGACAGAATGAAAACAACATGTCTGGTGAAATGTGTACATATATATAAAATATTATATAATATTATTATATAAAAGGTACTGAGATAAGATTTCCATTTGTATTGTATGGGCAGGGAAAGAGGACACAAAAATCGCCTTGAGAAAAGGCCCTACAGCATCCCCTGTGAGCATTGCCTGCCTGTGCATGTGTAGGCTACCTTATTTCACCCAAATAACACGACTGCCAAGTTGGAATAACAGACATGTTAGTGCTACAGACAACTGGAACCCTAACAGAGCAATGCATTGATTTGAGTTTAACTCTGGACATGTTCAATGCCCATTACGCACCAAGCAAGTCCCGCTGACTGTTAAAAATCAATCTTTATAAATGGATGACTGGCCCGAATTAAGTTTTAATGATGTCTGAGTTTTGTATGACAATGGGATGAAATAATCTGGTAAGCATCCATATAAATAGGTTCTGATCATTTTACAATTTAGATGAGCTTCAGGACTGCGGTTGTATCCATCTGCTGTATCAGTGACAGAATATAGCTTATTGTTACATACTTAAATTCTTTAATGGATGGCATGGAATAAAAATAATTTCTATGTGTGCAGTCACACTAACGTACTAACATATGTGTGTGTGGGTGCATGTTCAGTCTCTGATCTTTCTGACTCTAACTCCTTCCTGTCCAGCTGCTGAACAGAAGGTGCTTGGTAGGTTGGGTTCATTGGTCAGGGGCTTAATTTTGCCTAGCAACAGGGTATCCATAGAAACCAGACACACAACCACCACTGTACAATACTGAAAAAGTACATATGCCCACAATAACACTGGCATGTAAAATATTCAAATGTGGGTTGTTGTTTTTTTGTCTTTGTTTTGTTTTGTGCTTTTTTTTTGCATGCTGGTGGTTCATTCTAAGACATCAATAAGCAACCTGTGGAGCTACATACCTCAACTCAAAAGGGAGGAAAAACAGAAAATCAGGGCTTGACAAAGTAAGCAATACAAAATATTCGACTGCCTTTTTGTTGAAATTATTAGTGGTACAAATTTCAGTTAAAATATGTCTGAAAACAAGTAGAGAGCAAACAACTGCGAGCAGCCACAGGTGTCGACAGCACATATTAACAACCCCCCTCCCATATGTTTTGGGTATGCATCTGTTGTGCCATGCACCCCTGTATTCGTGCGTGGGTAGTTGGGTGTGACTGGTGACTGAGTTATTTATAGGATATTTGCCCAGTGATTGGCTAGAGGACAGAGCACAGGTGCACTTGGACCAGTTTGGGTTAACTCGTGGTCGGGCAGCTCTGGGTCTCTTACTGTGACACCACGTGAAAGGAAAAAAAAGAACATCCTAGAAACAAACAATACAGTAGAGGTGATTCAGGGAGTTGGACAAAGGTTTTTGTCTGTTTGTGAGTGCATGAACACATGCACAATGGTTTGGGAAAGAAGAAAGCAGTCGTTTGAAATTTGCATGCATATGTAAATCTAGGTAAATGACAGTGTTGGGCTGCAGGTAAAGGTAGGGAGTGATGTAATGCTTTTCTTTGGCATGGACGTTTGCATGTGACTATGTGTTCATCTTTTGCTTCACACAAAAAGAACAATAGTTTTATAGTACAGTAGCAGTAGGCAGGAGGGCCCACCTCATCCAAACCCGCCAAAATGATGTGATTGGCCTACTGCTCCTCCAGTTGTCACCAGGCAGAACACTTCTACTGTAGCTGAGCTCACACGTAATCTCCCTCTAACAGGTTTTTCTTCCATTCCCCCACACTCTTAAACACTCTCACTGTAACAAGATATTCCTCCCTAACACATCTCCCTAACATAATCACGCTGGCCATTTGCTCTTGCCTAACATTACTCACAAACTAATTTATTCTTTATTTCCTGTTGTTCAACCCCAGGCATGCACATGCACGTAAGCATTTGCGTCCGTACTTATGCACATGTTGAAAACAAGCAGGTGCACTAGATTCTCACATTCTTCTTCATTTGCTGTAGAAATGGGTCATCTGACTGACCCACTTATAGCCTTCATAATGAATCCAGCTACTTTTTATACCCTTCCTCAAGTGACATTGTATTTATGCTTTAGCTGTGACAAGGCAGTGCACAGGTAGTAAGACAACAGATGTTTCTTTCTTCATGCAGCCCTCTTATTCATTATGTTACAATGCAGGTTAGCATTATGCCCATGGACACAGGATGGTTTTCCTGGTAGGTAAACCAAATTCTGGTAATTATAGATTTGTATATGATACTCAAAACAAAGCAGTCTGTCTAATACCTGAAGCCTGAATCATCTCAGTGAGTAATTTTATTAAATAACTTTGTAATACACCGCCCATACACCATTACACAGACAGAATATAGCACAGAAAAGGCACAGTTATATTTCAAATTGCAAGACCCCTGGATATAAACTTGACATGCCTCAAGTAGTCCCTGAATAAAGCATTAATTTGTTTAAAAAAGATTTAATAGGGAAATCTAACAAATATATAGATATAATAATATCAGGTTTTGAGGGTAAGTACAAATGTGTTTCTTTCATATGCTAGCACTTAACCTTAGAAAAGACCCTGAATCAGTTAAGAGGGACTGCATCCTGCCACATATGAAGCTCAGCATTCCAAAACAACTTCAATGTAATTACTGGATAAAAAGATTAAACCTTTCTACAGTAGGACTAATGTACTGTGTCTGACAGTTCTGACAGAAAATAAGTCATTTGAGATTCCACGGAAACATTGAGCAGCCTTTCCTAGAAACCTTTTTGCTACAAACTAGTTTATCCTGCAGCGTCATTGGATTAGTTGTTGAGAACAAGAAGAAGCTCTTCTCTGCTGTTTATGGGTGAATAAAATACTTTGAGCACCCACTTGACTGATCTGCTATGTGCATGCATAAAAATAAAAAAAATATGGCAGAAAGTAATAAAAATACATTTCACAGATTTAAAATTCATATTCCTTGCATTAAACATTGATTAACTATTCTACATCTGTACTCAAGTCATTATTTCTAACAAAAGTGTTTTGTTGTGCCAGCCCTGAAAACAACTAAAAATGTTTATGACTTATTCAGATATCTTTGTTTGGTTTGCCATAGGAAAATAATAAAAAAAAGAGGGACAATTCAATTCTGCACTCAGCTATTTGGGGAAGTAAAAAGCAGTACATTCCAAACCCATGCAATATCCTCCAGTCATCCCAAGTGACTCGGTATTAATTATTCTTCCCCACAACATACGAATGTTGTGTGCATATGTTAGCCATATCTCAGTGTTTGCCTCTTATTCAACCAAGCTGAGGAATGGCCACATATTGATGTTCCTGTACATAGAAGCACTATTTGAATGTATTCAGTCTAATTTATGGATCAATGATGCATTATAACTAGTCTGTAAACATTTCAATTTGAAAACAAAACTGCATTTGAGACTCTCAGATGTGTCAGAGCGACTTAGATCACTTGATGTGCCTGAATTGTTTTTTTTTTTCAAAGAAAAAAGGACATTATTTCTAAATAACTGCAGCATAGTCATGAGGATAAGGGTGCAGTCATATCACCCTCATCTGTATCCATGTTCATTTTGAAATCCCTCTATCTGAAAAATGGAACAGCGATGACCTCCGCACAAGGACGAGTCCCAAATAAGTCTAAATGAGAAATTAATTATCCTCTGCAGATCCTGGGGTGCAGCAGTCCACACTTGTAAACCCCCAAAATATAGCAACTCGCCATTGCCACAGGGACCCTCTGGCTACTTGTCCTAATTCCTCAAAACCTAAAGTGAACCCAGTGACATTCTTGCAGATGTGAGCAGAAAGTCATAGCTGTTCCACATTTCAGTGCAGATTAATGTAACGATGTTGCAGTGGTTGTTTTTGTCTGTGTGACCTCTCTGTTTCCTTGAGTTGTCCATACCTCCTTATGGCTTCCTCCTGTTTTCTTTTTTTGTCGTTTTTTTCCTGCAGATATGCCCTATTTTTCTCATTCCTCGTGTGGTCCAAGTTCTGAGCAAGCAGTCCGTTGTAGACTCTCAACCCATTGTCCTCAACATATTGGAAAAAACTGAGAGTTTCCTCCTCTTTGGAGCTCATCATTGTTCAAGTCTCTCCACCGCATTCTGATGAAGAAATATATGAGGTGTTAATTCTTTGAACATTTTTGCCCATGAAACACAAAGTAATCCTCAAACTCAAAGATTTTCAGTGAGTGCCATTTCTTATGTTACTCTTGAGTCTGTACATCCTCTTTTTACGGTAAGGTTTTATGATAAGAGAAACAAGTTAAGAACATTCTTGACAATAATCTGACAATTTTTCTTTTTTTTTTTTGAATGCTTCAATTGTGGATGTTGAGTTCATCTCCTTTAGGATGTTGGTGTTGGTTGCATCATGCCACTCTATAGAAGAGATAGAGTTTTCTCTGGAGGGTTGCAACATGGTTCACAATCACTCATCATGCGCATACTCACACATGTGCACACGCAGGCGCATACGCAAAGCACACTTGCATGAGGGCATATGCAAACAGCCAAGGGAGTCACCACTTAGCTGCAATTACTCAGAACCTCCTGTCTGTGTGTGGATCTGTTGCGGGTGCTCATTTTTTCAGTTGTGATTGCACATTTTCTTGATGAAATTACTGGCTTCAACCAAGTGAGCATGTGAATGAAACTGAAACGAGGCTTTCATCTTCTGCAGCTGTAATGTGTATTGAGCTCACATGTAGTTATATAGCAGTCTGGTGACAAATTAGATCAACACAGATGAATTGTACTAATCTCACTTGACTGTGGTGCATCAATTTTTTAGATAAATAAGATATATTTTTTCCTTTGCACTTAGATTCTGTTAAATAAC